TGTGCCAGTATTGCTTCTCAGCAAAACGGTCCTTAGCTCTGTGGCCTGGGTTTTCTCAGGGTACTCAGGTTTCCTACCACAGACCAATGACATACCACCCAGAATTGTACATACAGTGGGGCAAACAAGTATTTAGTCAGCCACCGATTGTGCAAGTTCTCCCACTTAAAATGAGGACAGAGGTCAGTAATTTTCATCATAAGTTCACTTCAACTGTGAGAGACCGAATGTGAAAAAAAATCCATGAATTCACATGGTAGGATTTTTAAAGAATTTATTTGTAAATCAGGGTGGAAAATAAGTATTTGGTCACTTCAAACAAGGAAAATCTCTGGCTCTCACAGACCTGTACTGTCTTCTTTAAGAAGCTTTTCTGTCCTCCACTCGTTACCTGTATTAATGGCACCTGTTTGAACTCATTATCTGTATAAAAGACACCTGTCCACAGCCTCAAACAGTCAGACTCCAAACTCCACTATGGCCAAGACCAAAGAGCTTTCGAAGGACACCAGGAAAAGAATTGTAGACCTGCACCAGACTGGGAAGAGTGAATCTACAATAGGCAAGCAGCTTGGTGCGAAAAATCAACTGTGGGAGCAATTATCAGAAAATGGAAGACATACAAGACCACTGATAATCTCCCTCGATCTGGGACTCCACGCAAGATCTCATCCTGTGGGGTCAAAATGATCATGAGAATGGTGAGCAAGAATCCCAGAACCACATGGGGGGACCTGGTGAATGGCCTGCAGAGAGCTGGGACCACAGTAACAAAGGTCACCATCAGTAACACACTACAATGGCAGGGAATCAAATCCTGCAGTGCCAGACGTGTTCCGCTGCTGAAGCCAGTGCATGTCCAGGCCCATCTGAAGTTTGCCAGAGAGCAAATGGATGATACAGCAGAGGATTGGGAGAATGTCATGTGGTCAGATAAAACCAAAGTAGAACTTTTTGGTATAAACTCAACTCGTCGTGTTTGGAGGAAGAAGAATACTGAGTTGCATCCCAAGAACACCATACCTACTGTGAAGCATGGGGGTGGGAACATCATGCTTTGGGGCTGTTTTTCTGCTAAGGGGACAGGAAGACTGATCCGTGTTAAGGAAAGAATGAATGGGGCCATGTGTCGTGAGATTTTGAGCCAAAACCTTATTCCATCAGTGAGAGCTTTGAAGATGAAACATGGCTGGGTCTTTCAACACGACAATGATCCCAAACACACCGCCCGGGCAACAAAAGAGTGGCTCCGTAAGAAGCATTTGAAAGTCCTGGAGTGGCCTAGTCTCCAGACCTCAACCCCATAGAAAATCTGTGGAGGGAGTTGAAAGTCCGTGTTGCTCAGCGACAGCCCCAAAACATCACTGCTCTCGAGAAGATCTGCATGGAGGAATGGGCCAAAATACCAGGTTCTGTGTGTGCAAACTTGGTAAAGACCTATAGTAATCTTTGACCTCTGTTATTGCCAACAAAGGTTATGTTACAAAGTATTGAGTTGAATGTTTGTTATTGACCAAATACTTATTTTCCACCCTGATTTACAAAGAAATTCTTTAAAAATCCTGCCATGTGAATTCATGGATTTTTTTTTTCACATTCTGTCTCTCACAGTTGAAGTGTACCTATGATGTAAATTACTGACCTCTGTCATCATTTTAAGTGGGAAAACTTGCACAATCGGTGGCTGACTAAATACTTTTTTGCCCCAATGTAGGTGTGTGTGAGTGAATGTGTGAATGGTTGTTTATTTTGTGTGTCCCTGTGAAGGACTGGAGACACGTCCAAGGTGTCCTTTGCCTCTTGCTCAATGACTGCTGGAGTTAGCCACCAGCTCCTCTAGACCCTAATGAAGATGAAGCAGTTCAGATCCCTGCTCCACAGAGCTATTAAGGTCCACCAGATGATGAGTCTTTTTATGTTTGTGAAGGCAACTCTGATGGTTCTCGCCTCTGTGTAGTCTTAGTAAATGCAACTGGTTACACCAAACACCAGACCTGTTCCGGCATAGGTTGCTTGGACTGGTTTGCAGCTATGTGCTAGAAGATTACTGCATTCCTTGGTTGTAGCCTTGGTAGGAAGTCAGCATGGCTTATCCTGTTTCAAAGCAGGGCTAGACGATAATCCTATCTATAGACATGTGGTGCGATAGAAAAATAAATGGATCAATAAAAACTTTGATAAAAAAGTTTCTTTTCTTCTTCTCATTATGGCCTATCAGGTAGCTTATTACTAGACTACCAACCAATCAACAACACAGATCCAGGCATGCTCCATCATCAAGCCCCCCCTTCTCAAACCTAAACAGACAGCACGTGACTTAGGAGGAGCTTGTCTCAAAAGAATATTTTGGTTTTTACAAGTCTTTTTGTTAAATTTGTTATGGGAGCTGAGGACAATTATTCAGCAGACCGAGCTTAGGACCATTTCGCCTCCTTTTGTTGTTTCTGCTTTTCAGTCCATCGGTCCCAGTGTGCTCTCGACAATTAAGGCTTCTCTGGTTTCTGGTCAGGTCTGTAATCCACCCCCTTCTTAAAAAGCAGAGTCTTGACCCCTCTCTCCACAGCAGCTACAGACCCATCTCTAAACTTCCCTTCATCGCCAAGATCTTGGAAAAGGAAAGTAACAAAAATAAAATATTTAGCTCCAAATAAAATATAACAGAAAAATAAACCTGTCATTTTCTTTTTAGTCATCTCAAACCACATGTCAGGTTTTCATCCAATTTCAATGCAGTCACTACTCTTCCAAGCATGCGCACGCTCACACACACACACACACACACACACACACACACACACACACACACACACACACACACACAGAGAGAGAGAGAGAGAGAGAGAGAGAGAGAGAGAGAGAGAGAGAGAGAGAGAGAGAGAGCCCTTTCACTGCATATCTAGAATAATGAAAACATGAAATAATTTGTAGAACGCCGGCTTTCAGTGTGATTAGTGCTAAAACACTGGAGGACATGGTAAAGACCTCAAATTCATCTACCTGCTGTCTGGAAAACCTGCCAACTAACTTCTTAAAAAAATTTTAGCTGCTTGAAAACTGACGTAGCCTACTAAAATTGGGAAAACTGTTCCCTTATGTCAGGTATTTTTCCTAAATCACTGAAATCTGCTGCTGGAAAAACTCTTCTACAGAAAATAACAGATTCCTTGGTGATGAAATACTACACACCAATCTCTAGTCTCCCTTTTATTGGGAAAATTTGTGAAAAAGCTTCCAACAACTTTTTTGTGATGAACAACCTGCTAGATAGTTTCCAGTTAGGCTTTAGACAACACCACAGCACTGAGACATGTTAAATGATATTCGTCCAAATACAGATTCAGGCAAAGTATCTGTGCTGATGATGCTTGATCTCAGTGCAGCTTTTGACATGCCTATTGATAGGCTGATAAAATGGGTGGAACTTTCAGGCGGTTCTGATCTTATCTCAAAGACAGGGGTTATGACGTTTCTATTGGTGAACACAAATCAGAATTCATCACCATGACATGTGGGGTCCCCCAAGGTTCCATTCATGGACCTCTGTTCTTCATCTCTACATGCTCCCCGTGGGTCAGGTCATACAACATGACCCATCATAGTTATGCAGATGACTCCCAGATCTACTAACACCTTGTGACTGTGGTCCTCTAGACTCACTCTATCAGTGTTGGCACTAAGTCAATGACAGGATGCAATCAAACTTCCTCTGGTTAAACAAAGACAAGACTGAAGTTATCATCTTTGGAAATAAGAAGGATTGGATGGATGTTATTCCTCTGCGTGGCTGCAGAGGAACAAAGACAAAACCCCGGGTTAGAAATCTTGGTGTCATAATTGATTCAGACCTGAGCTTCACTGCTCACATTAAGGCTATAAGTGGACCAGCGTTTTATCATCTGCAGCAAATAGCAACACTCAGAGATCTCATGTCCAAACAAGACCTAGAGAAACTCATTAATGCATTTATCTCCAGCAGACTGGATTATTGCATTGGTCTTTTGACTGGTCTTTCCCACAAACGCTGTGAAGCAATTGCAGCTTATTCAGAATGCTTCTGCTAGAGTCTTAACAAGAACCAAGAGAACCAAACACATCACTCCTGTTCTTAAATATCCACAATGGTTACCAATAAACTACAGAATTAATTTCAAAATACTTCTACAAGTTAATAAATCTCTCAAAGGAGTGGCACCAGAATACTGTACATGCCAGATTTCCGTCAGATATATACACCCAGCAGGGCTCTCAGATTCTTAGGAAGCGGTAAGCTGGTGGAACCTCGGGTCAGAACCAAACAGGGTAAAGCTGCTTTTAGCTACTATGCGGCACACAGATGGAATCAGCTTCCTCATGACCTCAAACTTTTAAATCAAAATAAAAAAAACTTTAATGTGTTCAGAAAGCATCTTCTAAACTAGGACCCTCCCTGCACCTGTCCCCTCCTTGTCCACTTCCTTTTATGATTGACAATGCTGCCTCACTGCTACCTCGGATTGACTGATTTTTTTTTAGCAATTTGAAATTGCAAAAAAAATAAAAAATCTAAAAATATATGAATATTTACCAAAGTCAGAGCTGTGTAAAAACTCAACATGAGTCCGCACATAGGAAAGAAAAGAAAAATGCCCACTGTCAAACTGATCTTGTTGTTTTGCTCTTTTTAAAAGCTAAATAAGTTTTGTTCATACTCCTCAAATCTCAAGTCTGTGCAAATCACGGAACCTTTTAAAGGCAAGTCATGTCAAAAGTCTTTGTTTTGTGACTTAAGGGCAACTGGAGTCCAAGTCTCACATCCTGTCCCCATCTTTGTTCCACAACGCAGTCCTTCATGGGTAACAGAGATGATGCCATTCGCTTCAACCAGACAGGGTTAAACACAATAGCTCATTGGCTGGAAAGAGATTGTGATTTCCAAAGCAGAACCACATCAAAATAACACCAGGTGCAAACTCTTTCAAAACTAAGTTTTGATTGTTTTTCCTACCAGCATTAGAGATTACCTTTCAGCTCTCGAGCAACCTCTCCAACAGTTCAAGAGCTGCAAGATAACAGAAATAATAAAATACACATTAGATTGCAGTACATTTACACTGTCATAAAGGCGGGTACGATAAAAGACTGATGTCAACTGAGGGAAAGAGTTCAATGTGTTACGACAGGTTCTGTAATTGGAAAGTAATTCTAATCACAGCCAGCACAATGCAATGATCTGCTGCCTTGCACTAATTCAGCACTGCCGTGGCTTCTTATGGTGTAAAGGGCAAACATTTATTACCCTGTGATTACATTTGGCAGGCATATGCCTCTGACACTTTGAAGTCCTTTTAATTCTCCAAAGCCGTTCCAAAAATCCTGTCTTCACCACTGATTTTCACTCACTGCTTCAATGTGGTTCAAGTAGCTCCAGTGGATTTCACTGAGCCACTAAATCAAAGACGGGAAACCGGAATTGGAGAAGCACAGATTTTTTTGGAACTAATTAAAATGTAGGAGGTGCTTAAAAGGTTAAAGATGATGAAGTAAAGGAAATTCAATTGATAAAGTTCTCTAGTTTTTAAATAGACGGCAGCAGAAACACTTTCAAGAATCCTTTCCATTTAAATACAGAAAACAGCTGTAAGAATTAACCATGGCAAGTCGTTGGTATATTTATTTAGTATCCTTGATACCATGCAGCTTTTGTGAAAAATGTTTGGCAACTAGAATACCTGGGCATTTGTTGACACTAGTTTAACTAATATGGCTACACAAGTTATAATAAAATGAGTTAAAGAAGAACTAATGTCATACGACTGCGTCACTTGTGGTCTTTTTCATACACTAATATACTCAATTAGTACTAGTAAGCATCAAAACTCTTAAGCCTGGGGCACATCGGAGGCAGACGCGCCGCATCGCACCCGCGGTTTTGAGAAGTCAAGTGGTCACACAGGACGCGCCGCTGAGCTCTTCTTGGAAAGTCGTGCGGTAGTCACAACATCACTCGAGAACAGGAAGCAGGAAGTGGCTCTTTTGTTTATACATGATCAGGTTGTCGTCTCGGTTTGTGAGACTCTAATTCATTCAAAATGGGTAAGTACGCTATTTATTAGAATATTTTAGGATCAAAAGTACTTTAAAGTTATCAAAAGTACTTTAAAGTTATCAAAACTACGGTTGGGTTTGTGCCGCATCGTAATGTCTGTTGTAAACAGCCTGAAACAGAACTGGCACCTATCTTCGGCGCAGCACTTCTGGGACGCGGCGCGGCACACCCCGTGTAGCCACTCTCATTAACTATAGTGGCTTCTATTTAAAATGACGGCGCGGGGAGTGATGTGGCACATCTTCCTCCGGTGTGCCCCAGGCTTTAATGTTGTTCAGTCAATTTGAATCCTGCCTACTAGCTCAGTAGTAACACTCCTGAGTGTAGGACAGAGAACTTTCAACTAGTCAACTGGTATGGGCCAATTGACTTGGAACAATATTTGACTCATGAGGTCAAAATAACACAAACCAGTCAACTACACATAGCGTTTTTGACAGTTACTAGTAAACTATTAGGTAGAAGCTGTGAACCGTAGCAAAATTCTGCTGGATCATAGCATGACAAAATCACTCTATTCCTCCACTGATGGCCTGGCTCAGAGGCTCAATCACCGCTCCTACCCTGCTCTCAGGTAAAACGAGTCACCTAGTGGAAGCTTGTGGATCTACATATGACTCATTCACCCCCTCCTAGCTGGCTCTATGCTGCAGAATATCTCCTTCACCAGAACTTCCTGATAGGAAGGCCAATCTGTTTAAAAATGCACATACTTGTAGATCTGTTGCATGTTTGTACAACATGATTTGAGCTTGAATATTGTGTGTTTGTGTGTGTGTGTGTGTGTGTGTGTGTGTGTGTGTGTGTGTGTGTGTGTGTGTGTGACCATTTTTGATGGTCTCGTAAACCGTGACTTTTAAAGTGTTGTAATCTTTGAAAAATATAAAAAGTAAACATTGTTAATGTATCATTACAAACTGTGTAACAGCAATTATCATCTTATTTAGTTATTTCTGCAACTTAACCTTCCGTTTGTGTTTTATAGCCAATTTGAAAATTGGTTTCGTAAACCATATCTGTTGTGTTGTATATAATATCAGAGCCCCCTGCAGGTAGAAAACTGCATAGCAGGGCTGATACAACCGATACAACTTAGCACCTCAGCAGCAGGACTTCTGGCCTAATACTGACTTCTCGCAAAAAAATATAAATTGCCATAATTTCATCATCGTAGGACACAGAGTCATGAAAATTTTTGTGGTTGTTTGTCATCCACTCCTAAACAACAATCAATAATCAGATGATGACGTCTTCAAGGCTCCGCCCCCCACAACAGAAAAGGTCATGTTTACTCTGAAAGCTCCCAATTGTACCCTTTTGATCTAACCAATATGAATCACTGCCAAATAACAGTTGTCATGTTGGGCTCACTTAGCATCCAGTACTGGCAGGTGTTGAAAGAGGGCGGGGCTGTGACGGTATGGCGAATTCAGGCGTAACGCCGTAGCAATTCGTTTTCCTCTCATTTCCTCATTCCTCAAGTTATCTGCAGGAAATTTTGCATGAGTGTGACTAATCTGACCTCAAACAGATATGGATGCAAATATCCGGTGGGCGTGGTCTATTTTTTCAAATAGCGCCCCCTAGGACCATTGAAACAGTAAGCCCCATGTCATGCTTTTACTGAGGATTATGAAAGTTGGTACACTTATGTAGTGTCTCAGAACCTACAAAAAAGTCTATGAAGCCACTTTCCTAATCCGACAGGAAGTCGGCCATTTTAGTCACATGACTATTTCTTCTTCTCTTTTTTGCACATGCTTAATTAGAGCTAACTTATCGTAGAGTTTTTGACCTATAGACTTCAAAATGACATATTTCACTCATAAGCCACTGGGGATCAAAAGTTGTGAAAAACTTTCTCAAAAGTATAACTGTGTAGGCATGGCTAAGCCTAAAATATTGACCCCTTACCACATCAGTGGGTGTGACCTATTTCTTTAAAATAGCAGGCCCCTAGGGCGATTAAAACTATCAGCCTCATGCCATGCTTTTACTGAGGATTATGAAATTTGGTACACATATGTAGTGTCTGGCAGGTTTCAAAAGAGGGTGGGGCTTAAGGAGTATGGCAAATTTAGGCATCACACCATGGAATTACATTTGCCTCTAATTTCCTCAATTCACATCTCATCTGTGCAAAATGTAATGTGATTTACTCTAATCCAACCCCAAACAGATAATTATACAAATTTTCCATAGGCATGGATTAGTTTTAATATAGTGCTCGCTAGGACCATCACAACAGTCAGCTCTATGTCATGCTTTGACTGAGGATTATGATATTTGGTACATTCATGATGTGTCTTGAGACTTACAAAAAAGTCTCCTGAAACCATGTTTCAAGACCAACAGGAAGTTGGTCATTTTGGTCAGATGATGCCATTTTGTCATTTTAACACATATTATATTTTAACTAACTTGTCCTAGGGCTTTAGGCCTATGACCTAAAATTGATAAGCCATTGGGAATCAAAAGCTGTCTAAATAGTTTTCAAAAGGACTAATGGTGTAGTTTGGGCTTAGTCTCAAATATTGATCTTTTTACATTAAAGTCCTTGGTTTATTAACTTGCAGACAAATGATCAGATCTATATCCAACTTAGTGTGTGTTATCTCAAATCTCAAGACAATGACAGTGTCATTTCCTGCCATCACCAAAGCCACTACCCCTGACAACAGGAAGTTTATTGTTTTATTCTAAAAGGTCCAACTTTTACCCTTTGTATAGAATCAACATGAGACACTGCCCAATGACAGAAGGCATGCTGGTGTAATGCAGCATTCAGTACTGAGATATTTCAAGAGAGAATGGGGTTGTGGTGGCATGGCAAAATCGGATGGCAAGCCGTGGCCTTACAATTGGCTGTAATTTCATCATACACACTGATTTTCACCAAATTAAACACAACAGATGTTACAGTCTCTCAAAGAAATGTTTGCAAATTGTTGGTAATTAAAGTCTTAATTTTGCTTTAGGGCCCCTTGCATGCATTCATCTCTTTCATGACTTCTACAAAAAAGGCCATAATATTTCAATATGACTTTCTTGTTTAGTCCTTGTAGCTGTGTTGAGTGTTAACTTGACAAGGTTTGTACACTCTGTGAGCCCCTAGCTGCCTTTTATACACAACAAGCCATCAACAAGCTATCCTATCCAATCCTGATATCCTTTCAATAAAGTTATTGTCCCATAAATAAATCTGACATACTCACTCAAAAATGGAACCACAATTAGCCACCTCCTCTACATAGATGACATAAAACCGTATATCAAGAGCGAGCGAGACATTGACTCACTGATCCACACCACAGGGATCTACAGCACTGATATTGGAATGTCATCTGGACTTGAGAAGTGTGGTCGAATGTTGACAAAGGAAGAGAAGATAATAGATACAGGAGGGGTCTCACTCCCAGAAGGAAGACAATCAGACCTTGAGGACAGCTACAAATTCCTTGGTGTCCAGCAAGCAAATGGCATCCTCGATGAGGCTGCAAGGAAATAAGCCACAACCAAATACTTAAAACAAATAAGGCAAGTCCTAAGAAATCGGCTCAAGGGCAAGAACAAGATTTGGGAAATAAACAGCTACGCCCTGCTAGTAATCAGATATCTGTCAGGAATAATGAGCTGACCAAAAGAAAAAAGAAAAAAATACTTCTGAGGCCTTGACTTCCTCAAAAAAACCTCTATTTCCTCTTTTATTCCTTGATATTTTGAATGTTATATATAAATGTGTATACTGGTCTCATAATGTTTAAATGTCCCCTTAAACCATGAAACAGTCAGAATTGTAATTTTTTGTAAACAGACCTCATAAACCCTAATTGTCTCCATAAACCACCAGGTTGTCAAGTCCTCATAAGCCTGTGGAAATTCATATGTGAAATGTATGTATGTTCTGATATGTTTTTCTTAATTTTGAAGTGAGACTTTTCTTCTATGGGTAA